ATTAAATTGTCTTTTTCTAGGAAGTATCCATACTGTCTAAATTTGCTGGCATAAAGTTGTTTATAATATCCTCTGATTTTAACTGTTTTCACTCTGTAGTAATAGAAATTTTCCTATTCCTCATACTGGTGATCTGTGCTTTTTCCCTTTCTCCTGCATCAGTCTTGCTACATATTTTATTAGTTTTGTTAAAAAAAATTTTTTTTTGGCAGTGTTGATCCTGTCTCCTGCATGAATTTTTCTATTTCATTGATATTTTTGCTTTTAATTTTTTTTTTTTTTTTTTTTTTGCGGTACGCGGGCCTCTCACTGTTGTGGCCTCTCCCGTTGCGGAGCACAGGCTCCGGACGCGCAGGCTAAGCGGCCATGGCTCACGGGCCTAGCCGCTCCGCGGCATGTGGGATCTTCCCGAACCGGGGCACGACCCCGTGTCCCCTGCATCGGCAGGCAGACTCTTAACCACTGCGCCACCAGGGAAGCCCTGCTTTTAATATTTTTGACAAACACCGCCAGGGCAAAAAGGTGCTCATGAACCCTCTCAGATCTAAACCCAGTGATTCCTTATGGTCTTTTTTTTTAATCTCATTGACGATTTTAAGATGTTTTTAAATAGTGATCCAGTGATCCAGTTTTTTAGTTGTCTTTGAAGGGAAGGTTGGTAGAATCATCTAATCCTCCAATATTGGATATAGAAAACTGAAAATTTTAACCGTGTATTTAAAAAATTTATGCTACTTATATATATTACCTATTCAAACATACAAAAATCATTTAAAAAATAAAGTGGCAGGTAAATGGACATTTTACATATTTCCGGTGGGAGTATACATTACAAGAATGTTTTTGGAAAGCAATCTGGAAAAATGCACCAAAACTCAAAAAGGGGAAAAATCCAAATGTCCACTGATAGGGGAATGTATCATGGCATATTCATACATTAGTACTCCACTTAAATGTAAATATTCCTCTGAGAGGGTAAATTCAATGAAAGCAAATGAAGCACTGTCACACTTCAGCGTGAGTTAGCTGAAAAGGCATTTAACTATGGCACTAGCAAGGGATATAGAACAGGCCTGAAGCAAGATAAGACTCCCATTTCTGAGAGGGGAAATTTAGCTTTATCTGAGCAACTACACCCTTAAAAGAAAGACTAACTCATTGAAAATATTGAAAAGGTGACTTTACTCAAACACATGTTTTGGAGTTGGAACCCATGCTGGCTGTGCTTGTAGCCTGGGCACTCAGGGACCTGTTGACACCCTGTTTGGTGACCAACACCAAACTCTGCAGAGCCAAGCTTTAGAACATAGTTATGGCTGCAGTAATAAAAAGGAGGAGAGCACCAATACCAGCATTTCCCATGTACTACTGTGGTTAACATAGTTTCTGCAGGACTCATGTAACAGTCCATTAACCCACAAGATTTTAGAGCAGGGACCTCAGAAACTGTATAATCTGGTTCTCCGCAACTTTGCCAATCTTGGTATGATAATCTTGGCTATTCCTCTATGCTGCTATTTAAGTTTCTTCTTTTTCTGATTGTTTAAAGATTTTTTAAAAAAAGTTCTTTTTTTTCTGATCTGGTTATGAAAAGCTCAAAACATTATAAAAGTACAGAATTACATACTAAAATCCTCCCATAATTCCATCACCCAAAGATAACCACTAACAGTTTGTTGTTTATTTCTTCCAATTTGTTCTCTAGGAAGATGTTAAATTGTATACATTAAAAGAAGGGAACATAATAGCACGTGTACTATTTTAAAATTTCTTTCTTCCTCTTGGTATATTGTGGACAATTTTGCATGTCTATGTAACAGTTACTTCGGTCTCTCTACGTAGCTTTATGGCAGCCTACTGTTCCCTATCAGTATATAACTGGTTAATTCCCCTCCCCCCTTGGGAACAATACTTCAAAGTACTTTCCTAGAGGCACACTTATGCAGAGAAAGATGTGTTTCTACAATGGATTCCTAGAAGTGATATGCTGGGACAGAGTATAGCTATTGTTAATTTGTCCTGTTTCTTATTTATTTATTTATTTCACTCTGCTGGGTCTTAGTTGTGGCACATGGGATCTTTAGTTGCTGGCATGCGGGCACTTTTAGTTATGCGGGATCTAGTTCCCTGATGAGGGATCGAACCTGGGCCCCCTGCCTTGGGAGCGTGGAGTCTTAACCGCTGGACCACGAGGGAAGTCCCTATCCTGTTTCTTTTGAGGACAACTTAACAATAGGTATACTCGGTCCCAGCATTTCACTTCTAGGAATCCATTATAGAAGAGTTTCTCAGACTCACAAACTTAGAGAACAAACTTATGGTTATCATGGGGGAAGAGTGGGGGGAAGGGATAGTTAGGGAGTTTGGGATTGATATGTATATACTGCTATATTTAAAATGGATAACCAAGAAGGACCTACTGCATAGCACGAGGAACTCTGCTCAATGTTATGTGGCAGCCTGGATGGGAGGGGAGTTTGGGGGAGAATGGATACAAGTATAGGTATGGCTGAGTCACTTTGCTGTGCACCTGAAACTATCACAACACTGTTAATGGCTATACTCCAATATAAAGTAAAACGTTTTTTTAAAAAAAATATGTTTCTGTTTGCCCTAAGCAAGCAATGTGTCCAATACTGCATGTCATCCACGTTGTTTTCCTCCCAAAACAATGCATAAATCAGGACACTTTTTTTTTTGCGGTACGTGGGCCTGTCACTGCCGTGGCCTCTCCCGCCGCGGAGCACAGGCTCCGGACGCGCAGGCCCAGTAGCCATGGCCCACGGGCCCAGCCAACCCGCGGCACGTGGGATCCTCCCGGACCGGGGCACGAACCCGCGTCCCCTGCATCGGCAGGCGGACTCTCAACCACTGTGCCACCAGGGAAGCCCCAGGCCACATTTTTTTTAAAGACTTTTTTTTAGAGCAGTTTCAGATGCACAGAAAAATTGATAGGAAGGTTACAGAGGTTTCCCATATATCCCTAGTCCCCCCCATCACACAGCCTCCCCTATTATCAACATCCCCCACTAGAGTGGTGCATTTGTTATAACTGATGAACCTATACTGATGCATCATAATCACCCAAGTCTATAGTTTCATTATGGTTCACTCTTGGTGTGTACATTCTATGAGTTTAGACAACAGTATAAACACGTGTATCCATCATTATGATATCATACAGAGTATTTCCACTGCCCTAAAAATCCTGTGTTCCACCTACTCATTCCTCCCACCACCAACCCCTGGCAACCACTGACCTTTTTACTGTCTTCATAGATTTGCCTTTTCCAGAATGTCACATAGCTGGAATCACATAGTACATAGCCATTTCCGAATTGCTTTTTTTTACTTAGTAATATGCATTTAAGGTTGCTCCATGTCTTTTCATGGCTTAATAGCCCATTTCTTTTTAGCACTGAATAATATTCCATTGTAGGATGCACCACAGTTTATCCTTTCACCTACTGAAGGACATCTTGGTTGCTTCCAAGTTTTGGCAACTATGAATAAAGCTGCTGTCAACATCTGTGTGCAGGCTTTTGTGTGGACATAAGTTTTCAACTTATTTGGGTAAATACCAAGGAGCATGACTGCTGAATTTTTCTAGGAAACCACCAAACTACCTTCCAAAGTGGCTGTACCATTTTGTACTCCCACAAGCAATGAATGAGAATTCCTGTTGCTTCACATTCTCACCCGCATTTGGTATTATCAGTGTTTTGGTTTTTGCAATTCAAATAGGTCTGTAGTGGCTTCTCATTCTTGATTAAATTTCCAAAGCTCTTTTCTGATTGTGGGTAGGTATTTTGGGGTGGAGATGAGGGGAACTCCTATCTCTAATGTTAGAATCTTTGCAAATGTTTGGTAATCTTGGGCTACCTGCATATGTTAAGAACACTGACCCAAAGCTCTGAATGTGTGGGTGGAGATAGTCAACTTTGTGCTTGTACTGGGTTGAGCTAGTCTGGATTCTGAAGATGGGGGTTCCCTTTTCTACTAGACACCCAGGGCCAAGTGGAAGAGAACATGGGTTCAATTTGGGGGTAAATGCCTAATACTTTGAACAAATGATGGAGACATCAGGAAGGTTGGGGTCATATGCCCTGCTTCTCTTGAGTACAGTTTCCCAACGAATCTCACCATTCCCAGGATCTATAATTTCTAAACCTGGAACACCCTCAGAGTTACCCTGTCTCATACGTGTTTTGTTGTTGTCTGCCAGACAGAGCCTATGTACCTTCAGTTTTCAAGGAATTTCTCAACATTTCTTGTCTTCTAATAGTACTAATTATTTTGTAGTGCAGTGTTACATTTTTAAAAACAAACATAGTTTTTGTTATTTTTAGGAATTTGGGTGGCCCATGTGCTCAGTCCATCATCTTGATTTGATCTATCCAGGTCATGTTAAGACTTTGGAAAGACAAAAATGTATCTTCTCTCTGTCAAATAATTTAGACCCATGAGGTAAGTAAGAATTTAAAAAAATAGATATTATAATTACCTAGTCTACGACAGGCATTTTGTATGTGCTATTCATTCTATCTGCACAAAAATTTGAAAGATAGGTATTACCATCCCAGCTGTACAAAGAAAAAACTTTAGTCACAAACAGCAGTAACTCACCCAAGGTCCTCTATAAGCAGCACTGTGGGCCAGGAACCTTGATGTGTCTCTGACCTGCTTATTTGCAGATGAAGAAACTGAGGCTGAGGTAGATAATTAATTTGCCAGTTACCTTAATCAGAAGCCTCATAGCTCCCTTGAATATTTTCTTCTTATTGCTTAAGGTTGGAAGTTACATAATTTCAATGACATTAATATGTAACAGCTTTCTGTTTTGTTAACAATATTGTGTGTGAGACTGGTGTGGCAGGCAGAGAGCCGATGAGAGAGTTAAATAACATTAACCCAATTAAAGGCATTCCAGGAAGGCATAGTCCTCTAACTTGGAACGTTAAGATTTTTAATGTAATTAGTCTATGAAAATCACGCATTTCTTAATCAAGCTCCCCTTTTGTGCTTCCAACTCCGCCTTCTCAGCCTACAGACTAATGCTTTTCCCCCCCTCTGCTGCTTTCCACTTTTCCCATGATTTAGAACAAATATTTGCCTTGGTAACTATTTTCCCTGGTTACTCTCTTGGCTGATTTTCTGCACAAAGAACCGAAAGGCATGTATCCCCAAGGGAAGCAGTTATTTTAGATTTTGCAAAGAAGTCAGTTAACAATTTTCAACAATCCCTTCTTTGTTTTAAAGAAAGCTCTGGTTTTGTTTCATTTTCATCTGGAGACTTAAATGACACCAAGCAAAGCCTACTTAGTTTAGATTTCCAGGTAAAATGTTTTAAATTTTAAGTTTCTACTAAAGCATGTGGAATGGTTTTAATATTTGGCTGTTTTATGTTGCAAATATGTTTAACCCTTGAGGAAATAAGCTCTTACTAATAGATTTTAAAAGTTTAAAGTGTACATTATTTTGTTTACTTGTTTTTTTCAGGATGACTACTTCCGAAGTATTTAAAACTTTATGAAATTAGGATTCAATATATTTTTATATGTTTAAATAGAATTACATGCTCAATAGAAGTATAAGTTGGTTTGAAAATTTCATTCTTTTCTATTTTTAAGTCCTAAAAGAGCATAAAGGATTAATTAAAAATGTTTTTCATTATAAGCCTATAGAGTGAAGTTAAAAGGGATAATAGGCATCTCATGGCTTTGTGTAGAAGTTTAAAATTTAATTTAAACCCTTTTAAAGATTACTTAAGACAGATGACGAAGAATTTTAATGGAAAAAAATAATAAGTTAACCAAGATTTACAGATGATATTTAATGTTGGGATAAACACAATAAATGCTAAAATGAAAGAAAATTTTACTTGATCAAAATAATACCTACAGTGATTAGACCTATTGTGTCATAAAAGTTTACCTCTAGAAACATATTCACTCAATTATAAAGTTGTTTTTGGAATAAATATTAAATAAATGTGAAATTCTATAAATCACTGAAAATAACAAAGGCCGAGGCATCAATGATAAAATTAGTATTGAGAGGCCATTTCATAAACATTATTTAAACATTTCAATTAGACTATTTAGATTCTGATTTTCTTAAAATTAAGATAGCTCTGTAAATTTATTTTTGTACATATCTATTTAGATTTCTGGATAAGTAAAAGTGAGCCAGTTTGGGAGGGGGGTGAAAGACAAAGAGGGATGGGGATAATGGGAGAAGGGTGAGCTTGGGCAATGCTCTGCTAAGTAAGAGGCTCAGGGACAACATGATGCCTGAGACACTCATGGAAGTTTATCTCCAGAGCCCTTAGATCCAGGGCCTGACTCCTCATAACTCTCACCTACCACAGGATGGAGAGTCACATATATGACTGTCAAAGCAAGAAAATCTCCATGTACAGATTTTATGTAGAGCACATTTTATGTAGAGCACATTTTATGTATGCTCTCTGTCAGAGCTCACTTCCCCCGCCACTCAGCAAATTCTACTTCTACCCTGTCTCACAGTGCAACTTTTCATACTGCTTTCCCCTGCTGCTGTTGCTATTTCTTCCCAACATATTACCCTGCTCTCTGAATGGGCTTTGACAATTTTAGCCACCAATCAGCTAGGGGATTTGCTCCTCCCTTATATTTTGCATGTTAGTTTTTCTAAAACTAATATAGATTATGAAAAGTTGTTCTAATATAGTTTCATTTCAGTGACCTACAGTAAAGGGTTTGAAATTACTGCAGTAATTAAAGTACCTATATACTGAAAAAGAGATTGCATGCTGAGGTTAGTTGACATGAAAATAACTTAGAGGCTGCTATTTGTTGAGCCAAGGGAAAATGATGACAAGTCAGCATATGATCCAAGTACATCCTGACTACAGGAGGATAATTCTGGCAGATGAAGTTATAAAAAGAACTGAGATTCAAGAGGGCAAACTAAGCAGATATCACTCTTTTCCTCTTACCAAATACCTAGACATAAGAGAAGATATATTACAAACAAATACACACATGGATATATAGCTGCAGTAGGAAATAAGAAGGGGAGCTTCTGGTGAGACAGAAACTGTGAGGAATCCTTCAAATACAGAGAGAAGATGGGAATGAATTTAAAGAGAAAAACCATAGCCTTGAATAGGTATGGGAGAGAACTGTGTAAAAAGAGCTTGTGTGGAAAAGAAAGAAGTCATTAGAGTAAAAGATCCTAAGAAGGATACAATAAGGAAAAAAACAAAACCCGTACATTATAGTAGAACTTCTGAATATTAAAAATGAGTTCAAAATCTGAAAAAAAAACTTCTACAGAGAGAGGAAAAAAGACTTATTACAAAGAGATGAGAATCAGATTCAATTTAAACTTTTCATCAGTAACAGATATAAGAAACAAATGGAACAATACCTATGAAGTATTGAAGGAAAATTATTCTAAAATCATAATTCTATTTCCAACTAAACAAAATGATATTTTCTGACATATATGAATTCAAAACTTTTACAACCCAAAACATTCTCTAAAAGAAAAATGATATATTTCAGGGAAATAAAACTAATCTGAGGGAACTCATGCTTCTTATAATGGCAGACTATGCAATTCAGACCATTCAGCCTACTGAGAATAATTAGAAAAAAATAGGAAAAAATAACAGGGCCAATATTTGGGATAGGACTGGAATCCTAAGAGGTCTGGAACAGCTTTTCTTCTGGAGGCATCTGTGGAACCAAAAGAGGTGACTGAGAAGCTTAGTATAGCTTTAAAACAGCCTCTCAAGTCAAGACAGAAACAAAACTCAAGGAATGGGGCCAATCAAGCAGCAGGGGTGGCAGGCAAAAGTGATGCAGATGAAATCACCAGGTTTTGGTTTGGGACTTAAAGTATAATTATTAATTAGTTATAGTGAAACTCAGCTTCAAATCATTCAATTTATGATTGTTAGTGCCCTTAACCTCATGTCTGAATGTAAATCCTTTTAGGATAAATAATAAATATATTATTGTAGGCTTCAAAGTATATTCACAATTTTTCATATACAATGGTTGGCAATCAAATGCCATCAGGCATAGGAAGAAACAGAAGAAAATGGTTAAAAACCTAGAAAGAAATAACAGACAATAGAAATAGACATATAGAATGTCCTGAAATGGAGTTTTCAGACTCAGACTTAAATAAATGTGATTAATAAGTTCAAAACGTGAAAAACAAGATTGAAAATTTCAGTAGAGAAACAGAAACAATAAGAACCCACTGAAAAGCCGAAAAACTAAAAAAACACAATAATAGAAAAATAGAAGTCAATGGATGGATTTAATAGCAGATAAACCATAGCTGAACAGATAATTAGTGAATGGAAGGGAGGTTAGTGGAATAACCAGAATCAATCACAGGGTGAGAGAAGGATAAAAAATACAAGAGAGGGAAAGTGACATTAAAGACATAATGAGAAGGCTATCATACGTGTCACTGTAGTTTTGAAAAGAAAGAGGAGAGAGAAGTAGGAGAGTATTATTTGAAGACGTAAGGGCTAAGAAATTTCCAAATTTGATAAATATCAGTCCACAGATTCAAGAAGTGCTATGAATCCTATATAGGATAAAACCAAGTAAATCATATCTATGTACAACAGAGTAAAACAGCTGAAAACCAAAGCCAAAGAGAATATCTTAAAAGCAACAAAAAAAGTTACTTTTAAAGGAGAAATAATTAGATTGACAGATGACTACTCAACACAAAATATGGAAACAAGAAGATATTGGAATGAAATCTTCCAAATGCTGAAAGAAAACACTTGTCAATCTAGAATTCCATATTTAGCAAATACATCCTTTCAGAATGAACATAAGATATAAACATTTTCATATGACCAACAAACAAAAGAACTGGTCATCAGCAGTCCTGCACTAAGGCAATTACTAAAAGGTATTTTTTAGGAAGAAAATAATCCTGATAGAAGACTGGAGATACAGAAAGAAATAAGAAGAAAGAAAAAGGATAAACGTTTAGGAAGATCTAAATCAGTGGTTCTTAATTGGAGGCAGGCTGAATCCTTCCACCCCCAAGACACATCTGGTAATATATGAAGACATTTTTGGTTGTTATAACTGAGAGGAGGCATCTACTGGGTAGGAGCCAGGGATGCTACTAAATATACAAAGGCCAGCCCCCCACCACAACAAAGGAATTATCCAACCCAAATGTTAATAGTGCTAAGGTTGAGAGAGCCTGATCTAAATGAACTTTCAGCATAAAATAATAATAATCTTTTGAGGGTTTAACAAATATAAAGAATTAAAATATACGACAAAAGTAGTATATGTTCTAGGATGAGGTAAGTAAAGTTAAAGTCCAGAAAGAGGTAAAGGTACTAATTTATATTAGACTTGATAAGTTAAGGATGTATGCGGTAATCTCTACAAAGAACTTTATAGTGAAAAGTATACAATTACTAATGGAATAATAAAAACTAAGCAATCAATTAAAAAGAAAGCAAGCAAGAATGGAAAAAAAAAACACACAAAGAACAGGCAGGACAAATAGAATGCAAATATTCAGAAAATATATTTAAATTCAAACATATCAAGTGTTACAGTAAATAAAAATAGACTTTCTATTCCGATTAGAAGATAAAAATTGTCATATTGAACTAAAAATGATACGCTAATAGAAAATATATTGAAAATATGAAAGGCTGAAAGTAAAATGATGCAAAAAATATATTAAGTAGACATTAATAAAAAGAAAGCAGCTACATTAATTCGACAAAGTAGATCTTATGACAAAACACACTACTAGAGATACAGAAAGTACCTAATGATAAAAGCACCAGAAATATATAACAATTCTAAATGTGTATATACCTATACCATGGCCTCAAAATATATTAATAAATATGACCAAAGTGACTTATATTAAATTTCATCCAAAAATAAACCCAAGAGACAATATAGTTAAAAACAACAGAAAATCTATTATTACATTATTTATAAATTAAAAATTACAATTAAGAACATAAAAGTGCTCACTTTGGCAGCACATATACTAAAATTGGAACAATACAGAGAAGATTAGCATGGCCCCTGAACAAGGATGACATGCAAATTTGTGAAGCATTCCATATTTTTACATAGAGAACAGACTTGTGGTTGCCAAGGGGGAGGAGGGGAGGAGGGGAGGGAGAGGGATGGGCTGGGAGTTTGGGCTTGGTAGATGCAAACTATTATATTTAGAATGGATAAACAACAAGGCCCTAATGTATAGCACAGGGAACTATACTCAATATCTTGTGATAAACCATAATGGAAAAGAATATAAAAAAAGAATGTATATA